ACAATAAACATGGCTGTGTCCGTACCTCTATGGCATGCTGACTGAAAGTCCTTGGAGCAATTGCCCAGAAGCTGCAGTGCGACTCTATGGCACTAGTTTTGGGAACATTTATACTAATTTCTTAGTAGTGGCACTAACTTACATTCCCCCAGCAGTACAGAGATCCTGTTCTCCCTCCCTTCCCTGCCAGCGCTTGTTGCTGTTTGGTTTTGTTTGTTATTGTAGTTGCTCTTGTAGCCTGTGTATGATAAGAACAGTGCAAACATGCCAGGTGGCACGTGTGCAGGGCAGAGGACAATTTTGGGAAGTTGATTCTCTCCTTTCCCCTTGATATGGATTCTGGGTCACTAAGTTTTTAAGGCAAGGGCTTTCTCACTAAGCCATATCGCCAGTCCAGCTATTTGTTCTCTTTAATGAGAACAAGTGTGAATTCAGTAAATGGATATCAATGTGGTTTTGATTTGCATTTTTCTAGTGACTATTATAACATCTTTTGGGTGCAAAGACAAAAAAATATTTTGTGTTGAATTGAAAAAAAATCATTTGGTTAAAAGGCTTTTCTTGGTGCAGGGCTTTAATGACAGCACTCGGAAGGCAGAGGCAGGAGAATCTCTGAGGTTAGCCTGGTTTACAGAGCTAGTTCCAGGATAGCTAGGGCTACCCAGAGAAACCCCGTCCTCTTAGAGAAGACCCAGGTTCAGTTCTGAGTGGTCACGTGACAGCTCACAGCCATCCAAGCACTGATGTTTCTTCTGACCGCCAAGGGCATTGCATGCAGCTGATGTACATTACAAACCCACACACATACAAATTTAACAAATAGACATTTTTAAAAGTTTTCCTGGCAGGGCGTGGTGGCACACAAGATGTCTGTGAGTTCCAGACTAGTCAGGGCTACCTGATATAACATGATGTGACATGCTTTGTCTCCACAAAACAGCATTTCTGGATTTATATTCAGAATTTGAATGCAATTCATAAGAATGGCTCAGCTTCTGTGTAAGACAGAATGAGCCAGAGAATGAGAAGAAGCCAGGAGATTAGAACAGATTGCTGGGGTTAGACTGAGCAATTCAGAGGCTGAAAAAGAAGCCAGACTGAATAAATTACCTAGGAGATGGATTTGAACCAGAACAGCTGAATTGAACCAGCTAGCGCAGAGCTCAGTAAGAGCTATAAAGAGTGAGCTTATTCAGTAAGTCTCAGAGGCTGAAAACGTTCTAGGCCTAGGTTAGATTGTATGATGGCTAGAAGCCTCCAGGACTAGGCCTAGGTTAGCAGACAGAGGCAATAAGCCTTCAAGACAACAACTGAAGCAGGAGAATAAAAGTTACTATTACAATAAGCTGCAACAAAACCCAGGAGGATAGAGTAACCGCACTGCATGCTAGCACAGCTGGGAACAGGGTCATCTCTGGAAGTCGGCCTGCACCTGTCTCACCTGACCCCAGACTCCTTCCTCTTCCTGGAACAAAGTGTCTGTAGCTCTTGGGACAATGTTACAACTGTCTCTGCAGCCATTTCTCCAGAGTCAGGAGGCTGACTCTAGGCCATTCTCTTAAGGGAGGCGGGTTTGTTGTTGTTTCATTTTGTTTTTTAATACACTAACATTGCAAAAAACAAGGGTGCATTACCATATCCCTCCCTGAAGAACAGGGTAGGAAACTGAACCACCATATTGGACTTTTTGTTGTTTGTATTTTCTTTTCTTTTGTTTTCTTAGACAGGCAGGATCTTGCCATGTATGGAGTCCAAGCTGGCTTCAGACTTGCTCTGCAGCCTAAGCTGGCCTCAAACCTGCGGTCCTTGCATCTCAGCTTCAAAGTGCCTAGATTACAGGTTTATGCCAGCACCCCTGGCTTCTCGATCCACACCTGATGGTTCTTGGTTTTGTCTATCGTTTACTTAGTGCCCTGCAAAGAGTACTCAATGGGCACATAAGTCACAGAGAAACTGTGCCTGTGTGCTTGGTTTGATTTCATTAAGCAACTTCCACGTCCGTGTCAGCTGCTGGGAAGAGATTTATCACCTGACAATTTCTTACCTGTGTGTACTGTAATCTCTGTAAGCTCTCCTCCCATGCTCCCTTATCCCTCTCTAACTATTGCCCAGCACCACCCATTCCCAAGAATTCCCTCTCCCACTGCTGTATCGTTTTGTGTTTAGCTAGGGCTGCCTCCATGAGAATGGGTGTGGAGCTATCTATTCACTGGAGTATGGGCAAGTCCCAGTGTCTACACCACTGAAGACAAAACTCTCTCTCTCCCAGCAGCCCTCAACAGCCAATAACTTCCCAGGGAGGAGCAGATGACCGATATTCTGTCCTGCATGTTCTCATTAAGGGTGTTTTTCCCCGATTTTTTTTTGGGTGGGGGTGGCAGTGTGCCACAGCACACTGTACAGGCCAGAGAGTAGCTTCTGGGAATCTGCTTCCTTTCTCCCGTTTAGGTTCTGAGGATAGAACGCAGCCGCTCAGCTTTGGCAGCAAGGGCCTTTATCAGCTGAGCTATCTCACTCTCTATTAATTTTTTACAATCCAGCTAAAAAACTGATGTTGATTATATGCATAAACACAGCAATATACACATATTGTTGCTGTAAAATCTGTTTACGGACTTTGCACATCAAAACACCCTATACTCACTATTATCTTGGAATTTTATCTTGCAAGCCAGTACACTGGAAACTGAAAACATTGACCTTAGCTATCAAGCTATTACTAAAGGACTGGAAAAACTGGTTAGCAATGCAGCTTTGTAGATTTTGGGGTCAGGAAGGAAATGGGCTTAGATGTAGGCTCTGCCATTTACCGTGGATGATTTTGAATCTGAACCCCAAAGCCCTAGCTTCCTTTCTGTGAAGCAAGAACACAATAGTTCTTGGGGATTAAGTAGATTGACTAAAATCATGTCACCTTAGCTCAGAACAATGCATATGTGAGTGATAAGGAAAGCTGCTCGTGAAAAACACTAAGTCTGGAGTCCCTGGTTACAGGAGAGAGTTTAACACTCTGCAGTATTATGCTAACAAACTGACTAGCTTGGAAACCAGAGGACCCACGCTGAAATCTCAGCCTTGCTTTCTTTCTCCCAAGCTACCTGACCTTGGTCAAGGCCCAGCCCCTTGCACGTCAGCCCCTTATCTAACTGGCCTGTATCAGTGGTATTAATTACAGTTTTAGAATGCTGACCATATCCAGTGTACGACAGCTTTATTGGCAGGTATTCTTCAAACTTGATAGATCGCTGATGCTGACAGAGCCAACCTTAGCCAAGGTTACCCAGCTACGGCATGATGGTACAACCTGGCTCCACAGTCAACCATATCTGGCCAACCTGTCACCTGCCCCATTCGCAGAAGGTGAAAGGACAGTATGACTTTGAAAGTACTTTTTTAATTAAACTGTCCTATACAAACACTGTGTTATGATGGCAATCCTATGCTAAAATAAATAATCAACAAAAACACTCTGTGATTTGTTGTTAGAGCCTTGGAACCCTGAAAGGACAAAGACTTGCACTTTAAAAACTCTTTTCTTGGGGCTGGAGAGATGACTCAGTGGTTAGGAGCACTGACTGATCTTCCAGACAGCCCTAGTTTGATTTCTGGCACCTACATGGCAGCTCACACCCAGTTCGAGGGGATCAGACCTCACAGACACATGCAAACAACATACCCCCACACATAAAATAATTGTTTTAAATCTCAAAAAAATTAATACAAATAACTTTTCTTTTTGAAACTTTTCCTTGACATCAATTTCATTTAAACAGACCTGGTAAACAAATTTAAAAAGAAAGATAAAATGAAACACAACACGAATAATTAATTACAGAACAGATGTATGGAGGCCATGCTATGGCAACCAGAAGTTACTCTCTGCTTCTGAAAGCCTACAGCAGAAGAAAAAAAAAAAAAAAAAAAAAAGCCTGAGCTTCAAAGAGACAAAGTGTGTGTGTGTGTGTGTGTGTGTGTGTAGCTCCATGTAGAGGCCAGAGGACAGTCCTGAGCATTGCTTCTTGCGCTCTAGGATTTGTTGGTTGGTTGGTTGGTTGGTTGGTTTTCAGGTTTGGTTTTGGTTTTTTACTTTGAGACCAGCTCCCTCACAAGCCTAAAATGTGCCGGGCAGACTGGTTGGTTCAAGCCCCAGGATCGTTCTCCCTGGGCACTGGGGTTACCGACGGGTTCGTTCTTCTGATGAGTTCAGGAATTTGCACTCAAGGCTCCCCTGCTTTTGCCGAAGCTCCAAAACATTAACCTCACCTCTGCATTTGCAGGTAGCTCTCGTGCGTGGTGTAAGCACAAAGGGCCCACGAAGATCCCCATAAACTGAAGCATCCAAAGTAGGGCCTATGGCGACTCCGGTTCCTGGCACCATGTAATCTTAAATTTCTTGGTCACTTTTCAAAAATACCTTGGAAAAAATGAAGCTGAGCTCTTCCATGAAAACCGTACTCCCTAGCTGGACAGTTTGCTATGATTTTCTGAGTTATCTCTTTTGGAATAAAAACCGAGGTTTTAAATTTCTTATGTATTATGACCAAAGCGGTTCTTTCTGGGGCCATTAGGAGTAACAGTGGTGGTCAAAGTGGGTTTTACTTTGGAGCCTTTCCCTTTACTCTGGGTGTGTCCAGGAAGGCACTTTCCCCTCCTTTTAACTCCTATTAGAGTCTTAATGCAACTCTCTGACAGAAAACCTAAGAGTGAAGTCCAAGCGTGGACGGCGTTAATTCTTCCAGGCAGATGTGAGTCCCGGAAGGTGCTGCGTACATCCTATCCTGCTCAGTTGGACCAGAGCACATCTACAGCGACTTCTCAACAAAAGAAAGCCTAGTCGCTTTGACCCCAGTGGCCCACAAGCCGGATCTGAGCGCGCACTTTCATCGGGTCCCACCACCGCACTCTTCCCTGAAGGCGCCAGGGAGCGACCCACCCTGAGGCTACCTGGGGCTGGGGAGCCAGCTCGGTGGCGGCGGACAAGCTGCGCTCCCCGCGCTTACCTCGGACGGCGGGATCTCAAACACCCCGGCGATCTTGGCGTAGAGCTCGCCGATGCTGGAGAAGTCCTCCACTCGGCCCGTGGCGCTGCCGTGCGCCAGCTGTGCGTGGAACACCATCCTGCGTGCGGGAGCTGGGGGTCCGGGGACGCCCTCGTCCGACCTCTCGCCCTCCACCAGGCGCGCGGCCTCCTTGGACTTGGCCGCCTTCTTCTTCCCGCGCAGCCCCAGCGGCATCCTGCAGGTCGGATGGCGCGGACCGCCTGCGCTGCCGCTCCAGCTCTCCGGCCTCGGACCGCGGACTTTGCACTCGGGGGCCCCCGGCTCCGCGCAGGTGACAGTGGCTGCTGGGCCAATGGCAGCGGCGCTTCCGCCTGGCTGCACCGGCTGCAGGCCCCCTCCCTGTGGGGGACAGGGCACCTGAGCCGAGCTGCCAGCCGCTCTCGGTGTGGCTCAGGCGGAAGGAAAGCTGGGCACTGCTGGGCACTGCAGGTCAAGCCCGTTTCTAGGCTCAGGCCTCTGAGTGAAAAAGAACTGATTTCCGTGAAGAGCCTGGCGATGCTAGCAGAGGGTTCTTCATACTCTCCTGTTGGCCTTGCCTCCCCTCTCAGAATCTGGACGCTCAGCTGGGCGTGGTGGTTTGGGCCAGTGATTCCAGCACTGTTAAGGCTGGGGCAGGATGATTGCTGTGAGTTCGAGGCTAGCCTGGCCAACGGCGTGAGGTTCTGTCTCACGCACACATGTACAATGAAAGCCCCCAAATTATATTTGCAGGAAAATGAAAACATGGAAAGAGGACATTATTATGTTAAGCCGAGTGAGCCAGACTCAAAACGAAAAATGTTGCATGTTTTTTTTTTCTCTCTCGTATGTAGAATGTGGCAGAGAAGCATGCTAGTAGAAAGGGAACTGTGAGAAGGGGTGACAGGTTATGGAATACATGAGGAAAGAAGAGGGAACTGGGGTTGGGAGGACGGAAGCACCGGGCCAGGGGGAGAGAGAACATCAGAAACGGGGAATTATGACCTGTATGCATGAAAAGGCCATAAGGAAACCCATAACTTTGTACACTAACCTAAAAAAATGTGGTAGACACGGCATTCGGGTGACCCCAGCCCCTGACTTTGTCTAGACGAATTTACGTCGACGTCATCCTTCCTCGCCTTCTCTGTAAAGGAGCGCGCGTAGCCCCGAGGGTCTCACGGTCAGTGCCGCAGCACCTCTCTGTAACCTATTCCTCTTGGAAAGATAACTTTCTCCCGTGGGTTTTCAACGTTCCCGCGTCCACTGTTCCACATCCTCAGGGAAACTCACTCCTGCTCTGCAGAGGACTGAAGCCGCTCGCGGAGACGAGTGTGCCCTCCGTTCCCATGCCATGTCAATGACTCCGGCCACCTCACTTCCCTAAGCAATCTTTTATCTGACCTGGATTTCTCTACCGAAAGCTTGAAAAAAAAGTGTGTGTGTGTGTGTGTGTGTGTGTGTGTGTGTGTGTGTGTGTGTGTGTGCGGGTACATACGTGCGTGCGTGCGTGTTTCTCCTTTCTCCACCTCTGTTAGCCAAACTACACCATCTGCAGTTCAGTCCGATAGGAAGGATACACTGACGACCAAACTGACCTCATCCTTCCTAATGGGTGTTGTCTTCTTATTCTCAACCAAAGTGATAGACCCAACATGCACTAGGGTCCACGTCAAGACACCCTTGACTCATCGATGCAAGTTTTTCCATCTCCCTTCACATCTCCTGTAAGCCAAGTCCTGAAAGCCCATGTGTCTCCAGGGAAGGCTGGTAGATGTTGTGAGGGATACAGCGGGGAAGTATAATTAGCATAATTTCCACTTGGTGGTGGTGTGTGTTTCTGTCACCTTAAAGTAATGTGGGCACTGAAGGGGTCGCTGGTGGTAGTATTTGCTGTGTAAGCATAAGGATACAAGTTCGATCCCAGCACACTTTTAGCAGAGCACAGTGGCATAAGCTTGGACGCAGGGAATGGAGGCTGCTTGGGCTTGTTGGCAGCCGGCTGACATAAACTGGTGAGCTCTCAGTGAGAGACCCTGATCCAAAAGGAACACGCTGGAAAGCAATTCCTCAAGACACCTGATATCACACACATGCGCGTGCATGCTCATACCCACACATGTACTCATACATGCACATGTGCACAAACACACACACACACACACACACACACACACGAATGTGAACATATTGAACCTTTTGGTTCATCAAATGACTGAATCCAACACTCTGCCACATGATCCCAGAGTTTGGATCTGCCTTTGCGGCTCTGATTTATAAAGCATCAAATAGCACTGTTTGGTCTTGGCCTAAGGAGAAAAGAGTAAAGCCAGGCACAGTCAACACCTGTAAGCCTGGCACCTAGAAGGCTGAGGCAGGATAGAGCTCCTTTGAGGCTAAACCAGGTGAGAGAAAAGTGTCTCAAAAACAAACAAACAAACAAACAAACAAACAAAAAAAACCTAATAAGCAAAGTATAAATAAATGGTGTACTCCTTCCATGTGAAAGCTAAAAAACTTGTCATTGAATTGTATGAACAGTGACAGGGAAGTTTGAATTAAAAAAAAAAAAAGTCATCACAGGGCATGTGCTGGTACATTGTGAGGACCTGGGAACACAGAATATAAACCTAAAAAACCGCAAGGAGAAAACCGTGGGTGTTTCATTCCCTTTTTGCTGTGAACTCACAATCCTCCTGCCTCTGCCCCTGGGGTGTTAGAATTGCAGAGCTCGCTGCTACCACACTCAGCGAAATAGGATTTTGAGTTATGCCCAATAAAACACCAAAAGAAGCAAAGCAAAGTATTGGTATTGGGGGTTGGGGTGGGGATGTAGTTCAGTTGGTACACAAAATGGGTGCACACACACACACACACACACACACACACAAACTTTTAATTAGGTGGCTGTAGCTGTGTGGGTTGGTTTCCAGATACTCTGTCTGTTCTGTTAGTCTAGATAACCGTTTTGTACCAGTCTCATGTGGTTTTGATTACTATGGCTCTGTAGTATAATTTGAGATCAGGTATTGTGTTATTTCCAACATTGCTTTAGCTACTCAGGGGTTTGTTTGTTTGTTTGTTTGTTTCTATATACATTATAGGGTTTTAAAAATACTGTAAAGAATTTCATTGATATTTTAATGGGGATTTCATCAGGTCCTGATATGGTCTTCAGTCATTTAACCATTCTTACAGTATCAATTCTGTCAATCCATGAGTAAGGAAGGCCTTCCCATCTCTTAGTATCTTCTTCAGTTTCTGTCTTCAGTGCTTAAAGTTTTCATTATGGAAGTCTTTCCCTTCCCTGGTTCGGTTTGTTTGAGTGTGTTTGTTTTCGAGCTACTATAAATAAGAGCTTTTCCCTGATTTCTTTCTCAGCAGCTTCGTCACTGCCGACTAGGAAGGCTACTGGGTTTTTTGTGGGTTGATGTTGCATCCTGCTACTTTGCAGAAAAGTGCTCATCAGCTCTGAGTTTCCTGATGGAGTCTTCAGGTTTCTACACCTTGACTTTTCCATGCACACTGAATTGCTGAATCTAACTAGATAGTCCTTAATAGGAGGAAGCACTTCACATTTATTTTTGGTGTCCTCTTTAACTTTTTTCTTTTTGGAGGGGGGGGGGGTACTGGTTCCAAACAGGGTTTCTCTTTGTAGCTCTGGCTGTCCTGGAACTCATTCTGTAGACAAGGCTGGCCTTGAACTCACAGAGACCCTGTGCCTCTGCTCCCAGGTACTGGAATTAAAGGCGTGAACCACCACCACCCAGCCCCTCTTTAAGTATTTGTTATTTGTGTAGTGCTTATTAGTAGGTCTAATTGAATAAGCTAGATTTCCCTTTAGTATGTCTAAGATGAACTAAGGAAACACAACTGGATGTCTCGGGCAAGGCATATGGCTCAAGGAGAAACAGCATGGTCTATGTTGAGCCATGATCTCAAGGTGTGAGCTCAGCACAATTTAAAAAAAAAATTAGGTTTTCATTTTACATACAGGATTAGAGTGCAGCCCAGATTGCCTGTCTTTGCTTCTTCCATTCATTAGCATTTGGCATTTCCAACAATATTAAAGTATCAATGTAGAATCAAATATAAGTGAGTCATTAAAATTCTGAAATTAATATAATCTTATATACCTGCCAAAAGCAATATTATCTTGTTGATAAGACAATGTATAAACTGTTAAATGAATCATAAGATAAGTTTACTGACTTATTTTTCTCAGAAAGTATAGCCTCTGATTACAATATTAGTTTTGAATAAACACACATGGTCTCCAACCCACCCCATGTCCTCACTGTGGATGGATCCAGTAAGCAAACACTTAGCAGAAAATAAACACAGAATTTGTTAAATGCTCTGCAGTTTTCCTTGGCACTAAAGATAGCGTGTTTTATAGTTGCATGGCAACAATGAGCTACCAAACATGACAAGTAGAGAAAGGACTCAGCTGAAATTCACATAAGATGGGCCAAGAATGATTGGAAGTAGGGAAGGGCACACAGAGGAAAGGGGACAGCGTGATGAATACCAAGAATGAAGCCAGCGAATCAGGTGCCTAGGAGTCTACTGTGAGCTTGCTCTGTGTCTGTCCCAGTCCTCGGGACTTCACATGTGTCACCTCAGTCATGACTTGGAGGAAGTGCCATGGTGTGGAGTTCTAATTGCTCTGCTTTTCCAAGGTTATGCTAAATAAAACATTACAGAGGCAAGAACAAATCTGAATGCTAAACTACTTCTTAAAAATGTGTGTGTGTGTATGTGTGTGTGTGTGTGTGTGTGTGTGTGTGGTGTGTGTGCAGGTGTCAGACAAGCATGTGGAGGTGAGAGGAAAATGTGCAAGTGTAGATTCTCTCCTTATGGGATCAGAGAGTGGGATTCCAGTCAATCAGGCTTGCTAGCAAGCATTTTTACTACTGAGCCAGCTCTCCAGCACAAAGGGTAAGCTGCTTTAATACAATGTGTCCTACCACAACAGACATAGGAAAAGGCAGGCATGTTCAGGGGACAAAAATTTCCATTCAGGATCAGATACAAAACTGAAAATAGAAATACTAACTGGTTAGTACACAGGCCTTTGATGACTCAGCGGGAGGCAAACAGTTTCCTCTATACAAGCTCCAGATAGTAGATCAAGTTCAGTACACATTTTTGTTGAAGGGCTGGAGAGATGGCTCAGGGGATACAAGGCAGAGGGCAAGTGGTCATTGTGCACACACGAGCACTGGAGAAGCCAGGAAAAGTCAAACGTGGGTTTATCTCTTGGAGG